TTTGTGTGTTTTCTTTTTATGCTTATATGTCCAGGGTTAGTCACCCTAAAAATAAAAATCAGTACTACTACTCAAACATTAGCACCAAATCTCAATAACTGATTTGTTTTTAATTTAAATTGTGGTTTAACTAAACATTTGCTATTTGCTTTCTAAATAGCTCCTGCTCTAGAAAATATTTTTCACATACTGTAATAAACCTTTGCATTTTAGAATGCAATGTCAACCATACTTTTAAAAGGATGTTATTCTATGCTATAGTATAACTTTTTCTGAAAGAAGGTTTAGCTGACCTCTAGTGGTGGCAATAGAAAATACATTTAAATAATATAGAGAAGGAATAGTACTAATAGCTGTGATGAAACAAAATAATTCTATATAATTTTAAAATACTAGATTAAACATTGAAAATGAGGTGATTTTTTGACAATTACTGTGATGAAACAAAATACTTCTATATAATTTTAAAATACTAGATTAAACATTGAAAATGAGGTGATTTTTTGACAATTACTTGAGTAAAGACAGCAAAGTCACTAAGGGTGAGGCTACACAGCAGGGTTTAACTTGAAATAAGCTACACAAATTGAGCTACGTCAATTGCATCGCTTATTTCAAAATGGATTATTTAGAAATTGGGAGCATCTATCACAGAAATTGGGAGCAGCTATATATTTCAAAATAGAGCACTCTTCTTCTGACTACCCTTACTCCTCATACAATGAGCATTACAGGAGTTGGAGTAAGAAGTCCTCCAGGTTGGCAGTATTTCAACATTAATTCAAGATAACTGCCTGCTGTGTAGAAGCTAAGTTATTTCGAATAATGCTAGTTATTTCAAAATAACGTTGCTGTGTAGATGTATCCTAAATGAACAGTAAAATTTCACATGAATATTTCTGTTGAACTTAATCTTAGAAAGCTAATTTAGAAGTACATATTCAATAATAATACTGTTAATGAATTAAAATTGGTTGATCAAACACAGAAAAAATACATACTACCTTAATTGATTCATTTAACAAGAGATGAGGTTTCCATCACACAACATTTGAAAACAACATATTAACGAAAAAATTTGAACTTTATAAGTCAAGAATCTACCAGCCCCTCAATTTCTTTCAGAAATTAATGTTTTTAATGGAAACTAATTAACGTATTGTATGTAGTGTAGTTGTGGCCCTGTCGGCTCCAGGATATGAAAGTGAGCGAGGTAATATCTTTTATTGAACCAACCTCTGCTGGTAAAAGAGACCGGTCTGGGAAAGGCACTAAAACGTCCCAGCTAAACACAAGGTAGAACAGATTGTTTGAACGCACACAGGAAGTTCACACAGGAAAGTGATAAAACATCTTATCTCCTATATGTGAACACTTTTCACAAAGCAACCACTTTGTCTCACACATGAGTCTTCATCTAACACTCTCAAAACACAAGCCTAGGATACCGAATTCATAACTCTGCTAGATTCTAAAAAGCCATAAAGCCAGTATCTATGAATATCATAACAATCAGTAACCCATGAACCCCTTCTTTTTGTTCTATGACTGCAGAGGTAAGAACAGGCCACTCTGCCTTGAATGCTTCCTTCAAATATGTGCTAATACTTACGCTAAACAATCTGTTTCACCTTGTGTGTTGCTGTGATTCCGAGTACTTTTCCCAGACCCCAAAATGAGCATCGCTCTTTCACCAACAGTAGTTGGTCCAATAAAAGATACTACCTCGGCCACTTTGTCTCTGTAATTAATGTTTGACTTTTTTTCCATTTATGTTTTCATATTCTAAAATACTTTATTAAATAATATGGAGTCTTAATATGGAACACATGGGGTTGCTAGACACTCTTTATTAGTAAGGTAGTTTTATCTAGCCGTTGTAATGTGCTTTTTACATGATGAATTAAGTACAACTGTCACACAAAACCCTGGTAAAGGTCCCCTAGGCTGGACATTCAGCAGACTGTACTTTGGACATCACAGACTGGGCCATATGCTCTTAAAGCTTCCCTTGAGGTATTGTCTCTCCCACTGGCATCTTAGGGTATGTCTACACTTGCTCCCTATCTCAAGATAGGGATGCAAATGTAGTGTACCAAAATTGCTAATGAAACGCAGGATTTAAATATTCCATGCTTAATTAGCATAATTGCATCCAGCCGCCATTTTGAAATTGCATTATTGCGAAATAAAACCCTGTGTAGCAGCGTTGTTTCGAGAGAAAACCCTTCTCTCAAAATAACTGTTAAACCTCATTGTATGAGGAATAACAGTTAACAGTTATTTCAAGAGAAGGGTTTTCTCTCGAAACAACGCTGCTACACAGGGCGTTTTATTTCGCAATAATGCAATTTCAAAATGGCAGCCGGACGCGAGTATGCTAATTAAGCGCGGGATATTTAAATCCTGTGCTTCATTAGCAATTTTGGTACACTACATTTACATCCCTATCTCGAGATAGGAAGCAAATGTAGACATACCCTTAGGGAACATTTTCTGTGCATTAGCTGTCTGTTACTTCCTTATGGAAATGGAGCCCTATATATTATGTCTGTACTTGGCCTCCAACACCAGTGATGACTCCCAAGTTTTC